AGTCGAAAATCTGCAGGTATCATCGAGGTATGTGATATAATTGTAGTTTTAGGCAAATGCAGACATATTTTACTCAAAAAGTTAAACTCTTATGAAAGATCAATTTATATTCATTTCAATGGACCCGTGGTACACTATGCACAACAAATCAGAAAAACAAAAAAAAACTATTAGATTGCGTCCATCCGGTGCCAGAGCATGACATCCATAATAAAAGCAAGGCACCATACGTAAATGCACTCCTCAATATTTTGCTAAGGATTGAAGAGTCCAAAAGAAACCATATACACAGATTCAAACTAGGTCACAAGGTGGATTATAGTTTCAGCCATTATTGTAATGACAAAATTTTTTCCTTTATATTGAATTATTTTTCGACAATAAATAAAAAAAAAATGCCGTGGTAATAACTACACAATTATCTTCTTGAATTTATTGACCGCGGTATAATCGGTAATAGCATAAATGAAAACTAATAGTTATATTATTTTTTTAAGAAAATTCAATATAAAAGCAATCCAGATAGTTTGGTATTTCGTTCATATAATTATCGTAAAAAAACAATTTCCGCGGTATAAAAATTGCGTTAGAAATTTTAATTTTGTTGTCCTAAATTAAACCATGAAAAATTAACTTTGTATGAGAGCACTAAATTAATACGATATGAAACCATAACCCAGTCTGTATTTTAAATCTAAGTACTAAATTTAAAAATCTTGTTTATGTTTAGGTTACTTTATTAGTCATCGTTCAAACTTTTGTATTGTTTAATGGTAATCAAATTTTATCCAATGTAATGAAATGTAATCATTATTTACACTATCGCGGATGAAGCTATCACCGATGGTGAAAACAATCTATCAATCGTAATACGAAGCTATCGCCGAGTGTTATTACTCGATATTAACCTCACTATAGAATTCTAATACCGATTGATAATAGCACTTATTCTTGAGTTTATGGTTTTCTAGAAACAAATGCCTATTTTTCTAATTCAGGATTTAATTTTACGAGACAATCGTTCTACCATTGTAAATAAATTTTATCTTCTGTGGTACTACTGTACGATTGCCACACATTTAGCCAAACATTTAAAGCTACCACTTGCTTTTAATACAAGAATAAGATTATTTTTTTTTTCTTATTCCCATAGATTAGAAAAAAATTATGGACAGCAAGTACCTATTTTACAGCTCTGGGAAAGAATTAATAGATTTGAGGTTTAGTTTGCCCAATGTCTACATGTACAGTCAGCTGTTGCTGACATTGACCTGTTGGTCAATGTAGGCCGCTTAGTTCCACAAGGGTATACGAGTACACACAGTCCGTTCTGTGTGAGTTTTAACCAAATATCTCCTAATAATGTCTACAAAAGTAGTGCCTCGTAATTTACAGTTGTTTTCCTAGGCAGAAATAAAATCACGCATCTTCCACTATCCGGGCTACCCAATTTTTTCCTTGCTTTTATAAACAAATATATTTAAAATAACATGTTAATTATACAAAATAAATAAGTTTCGATTAAATAGGTATTTATTTATTAAGATTATCTAGACTCAAAACTGCCATTGTAATAATAGTAGTAGGTAATAAGTCCGTAATATAGTGATTTTGATAAAAAAACTTTATCAGAGTTAAAAATTGTTGATTAAAACTGAGAATAGCCAATAATTAATGTTTGACTAAAATTTTTGTACGAAACCAACATGCCTATTTTATTTTTCTACCCTCTGCAATAGAATCACGAATCGCAATATTAGAGTGCGTTTCACTAAAGAGTTCCCTTCGCCGTTATGTTGGTAACGCTTAAATGAGTGTGGCTAGGTTGTTAAGTTTATATTACCTAATAATCCAGTAGAAATAGATTGCATATGGGATCATTTACAGTTTTGTTAGAAAATTGCGTAATATAAACGTCGACTCCGCAAATAACAACTTTCCGTTATAATACAGAAATATTAATAATAATATTATCTTTATATATCTAATGAGGAAATATTAAAAAGAAACAAAAGTGATATCAAAAATTTTTCAAGACTTTGTTAGAATCAAGATTCGACTGTAAACAATTACTTAATACACTTAAGTATAATACAGACCTTAAGTATTACTTTTGTTCTTTTACACGTAAAAAAACTGTAATTTACGATTAAAAAAAAAATCGAACCATTATCATAAAAAAACACAAATGGGTAAAAAAAGATAATGATTTATTTATCAACTTTTTAAATCTTGATTGCTTTTATTATACAGACAAACAGCATTCCAAAGACAATTTTATAGAATTCTGCAAATATTACAAAGTACTTAACGGCCTTTATATTGATTTAGTGACAAAAAAAACTTCCTCAAAGCACATAATAACAAAATAAATATGAAATATGATGACAAATCATCATCTTACGCTTATACCAATAAGTGTACGTAGGGCTGAAGTTACTATTTTATTAATCTGCTTATACTTACCTAACTTCTCGAAACGAATACTTAGTATCAAACAAAAAAACGCGGTACAGAAAATTTCATATTATCTACTACTAAAATAACTTGATCCTGACTGAGTCATCATCGCAGGGCTTCAAAAAAAGATCAGTCTCAAAAGACAATTTTAATTGCGTGTTCATGAACTTTTTACGATGCAATTAAATGAAATCAATTGAAAAAGTTTGAATTACCTAAAACTATTGAACTGCAAATATTTGTTCAAAATTTCATTTTTTGGATTTGATTTTTGTATATTTTCCATCAAGGTCTATAGAAAAATACTATATATTAATAATTATTTTTATAATTTTCATAAAATTAAACTCCTGTTTAAACCATAATAATTATTTATTTACGGAACAAATGTTTTAAAAACAAAATTATTTTTTGAAATAACTGTGTTCTTTGAGAGGAGCAATCCCCGATATAGCATCACCATCTTCAGTGTCACTATCGTCTGAAGTGTCGCTGACATCTCGAACTTCTATTATAAATCGATCGATTTCATTATCAACAGTAACTCCCTCGTTAATGTACTTGTTTTTAATTGTTTCCACGTGGGAGCATTCTCTTTTCCACTCTTCTGGTGTGATACTACTAAATGCCTCTTCGGTTATATTTACAATATTTTTTGCTTCCTGACCTACATTCTTTTCAGCAATCCTCCTTTTTAAAAGACTCCAGATGAGTTCGATTGGGTTCAGATCGCAATGGTAAGGAGGAAGTCTTAAAACTTTATGACCGTGATCTTGCAATAATATATCAACTTCATAGAGGGGTGGTTCTTTATGGTCATTGATCACTTCAAATAATTGCGCTTTTACCATAGTCGGTAAATATGCAAGGCCTTTGTTTATAATCCACTCTTGCATTTCTGTTTTAGTACTCGACATAGTGGGTGCTTTGTTCACCGCTACTGTATGGTACGATGCATTGTCCATGACTACTATTGACCGAGCCGGTAGATTTGGCAAAAGCTTCTCTTTAATCCATTTCATAAAATTATTTCTATTCATATCATCATGATAATCTCCAGATTTATTCTGAGACTTAAAAATCAATTGCGCATTGGGAATGAAACCCATTTTACCACCAGCATGTACAATTATCCATCTTGGACCTTTTGAATCTGCCGATAAAACCCCATCTTCAGTTTCACTTTGCCAGCATTTACCGGCACAGTATGTGAAGTGAATATACGTCTCATCCAAATATACGACTGGCCGTTGGTCACCAAGACGATTGTTGCGAAGTTCCTCTAAATATCTAAAACGCCATGCCACAATGTCGTATCTCTCCATTAAAACCTTTCTTTTCGATCTACATTTTTTGAAAAAAAATCCTAATTCCTTCATTATTCTCCACAAAGTGGTACGACTACCTTTGAAGTCGATTTCGTTTTGCATTTCATGAAGCAGTTTAGTGAGAGTTGGTAACTCTTTCTTCACAGTGTAAAATTCGTGAATTTTGTGTCGTAATGCACAAAGTTCAAAATCATCCAGTTTAATTCTTTTTTCTCTAGGACGATGCTTGCCTGGAGTTGAAATTTTTGTACTACTACCAGCAGCAGCCTTGCCTTCTTTGGAAATATTCGACACAGTTTTTTCAGAAATACCTTAAACAAAGAACAAATGTATTACTCTAATATAGCAAGTATAACTCCCTGTACTGAATATATTTATAAACGTATCATAATTTATTATGAACGGGTATCCACATTAGCTGTAACTAATTCTCTAGATTCGGTGTTTATTATAACTGATTTATAAAACAATAATTAAATTACAAGGCAATAATAAACTAGCTCTTGAACGGATATTGTCTAATTTATATTCTACTATTACCACTACTTTACATACATTATAATAATACACATAAAATAACAACGAGATACATATGTGTAGTAACGGGGACTTGGGAGTATATAGTTCTGGCAGCCCCATTTTACTAACCTGTCATAGCTGCCACGCGAAGTCGTACATGTTCCAAAGGGATTATTGGTTCTTTATTACGTTTCTCCCTCTCACAAAACGTTTTTACTTTTAACACTAACTCTCTTTCACCACTTTTAAGTGTTTTCGGCATGATTAGAATCACGGAAAATATCGCGAACTCTATAATGCGTTTAAGCGTTTGACGTTTTTGACATTCAGGTGGGCCAACATAACGGCGAAGGGAACTCTTTCGTGAAACGCACTATAGCTGCAAACACTTTAGCATACCTTGTCAATAGCTTCATCCGGATTTTTATGTTTAATATTTTTTTCTATACTTATTTCCTCATAAACTATCTTATTATTTACAGATTCAAAAAGTTGAAACCTCTACGTATCAGAAAATATATACTAGTAACTGTTTTTACGATTGGAAATTCCTATTTCGAAGGTTTAAACCTTAAAGCCTTGATTTTACCTCCGTGATACCTGTGTTTACCTTACCCAGATATATATAGAACAATCCTGTTAACTAACATTGTAATGGTTTTTTATAATGATAAAAAAGATACAATGTTTTAGTCAAATGTATTAGTTTTTTATTACTTTGGCGTTCAATTTATCGAAGCAATTCTAAGCAAATTTGTTTAGTGTTCGCTTGCTATTGCAGTACTATTTCTACTTCCAAAGCTTCCTCCGATTGCTGGCACTATAAGTATTGGTACTCTGATGCATATAAATGCTGAGTTATTCTGGTCCACTACTCTGAACTCGACGGTGGCTTGAGTACCCTGAAAGGGAGAAAGTGATTTTATTATTATATATGTACAGCCAATTTATTTTGACTTTTAAAATTCAAATTGTTTTAATTAGTATTAAGGAACCCGGGCTGCCATCTAATTTAATCCCGCTAAAAACTATAAATCTAAACAAAGGTGTTTTTATAAAAAGCCTATGTTGTTATAGAATTTATTAAGAGTTAATAATTCGAATGATCCTCTAAGCTGAAATAAGTTCCGGTACGTATTGCTTATTGTAAAGTTTGTCCAACTCGTACTATCTGCTTACATTTCTTTTTTATTCGTTCGAATTCTAGTCCGCTTGGTTGTAACTACCAAGTTTATGAGTTATAAAAATCGTTTTCAGTGCCGTCTGAGTATTTGGTATTATATATAATAACTAGATAAAATCAATATATATACATACTCGTATATAAAAGGAGATGTCTAAACCATTGGTCGTAAAAACTTGAAATTAGGTACATTTCTCTTATTGCGTAGAGGTCTACTAAGAAGGGATTTTTGTAAATTCCACCCCGAAGGGATTTGAAAAGGGTGAATACATTTGTATCAAACTTCTTTGTTTTTATTTGTAAATTAGTATTTAAGTAATATGACCTCAGACCTCACTACCTACCCTTATCTCTTCGACCGCGATCCTGACATATTAGACTTCGTACTAATAAACAGTATCTCTCTACTTTTTAAATAGATCGACTCGCTCGATGATTTAGACTCCGACCGTCGTCAGGGATACCACCTTTTCGATCCTAGACTGAATCTTATGATCCCTCACCAATTCGGTTTCAGAGTCAAACACTCCTACCTTCAACAGGTTCAGCACATTGTGCAATACATCTCCATCAGTTTCTTCCAGAAACAAAAGACTGTAGCAGTCTTTTAGGATGTTGCCAAAGCCTTCGACAAAGTATGGCACTCAGCACTCATTATCAAGCTACACAGACTGAACCTGTCATTAAGATTGGTTCGCCTGGTAGCGTCTTTCCTCGAACATCGCACCTTTCGTTTTAGACACTAAGATACCCTCTCACCCTATCTTGGGGGTCCACCTAAGCTCAGTATTTGCACCCCTACTGTAGATAGTGTACACCAATTATATAGGCATTTCCCTTAAAAGAGTGGAACTCTCTCTCATCGCGGACGATACAGCCCTATTTTAGTTGGCCCAAAATCCTTTCTAGACTTCAATAGATGACTGGTTTCGCAGATTTGTGCATCAAAGTAATCCCGGACAAATCTTCCGCCATCTGCTTTGACGCCTCGAAACGTCGCCTTTCCCTCAAATATCCCCTCTAAAATGTTAGGGAAACGCAAAACCCCTTATTGCCGGGGGTTTTCAAGCCTCCGAATGTCTCGACCAAAGGCTCTCTTTGTTTGTCACGTCACTCAAACCGCTAGACGTTATCTATTTTGATATGGGTATCGGCTATACATTTTAGAGGGCATCACATAGCATCCTTCTGATGGTACGTTATATATCTCCTCCCCGCCCTCCAAACTCCGATCTTTCAGGTCAAACCTCCACCCGATCTGGCTGATCGTTCCCTTTCAGGGAGTCAGCTGAATTTTCACTCAATAAGCCGAGGCCCTTCAGGGTTAACGGCTAACATCTCAATGTCACTTTCCACGTAGGTCGCTCCAGTCGAAGGTTCGTTGCCCCTTTAAGGCACGCTGCCTGTCCAAGGCGGTGTTTAATCAGTAGGAGTCTGACATAATCTTACATCCAGCTGTATGGTATCCAGTGAAGGATTCACCGCCTTCTTACCCCGTTGCGAAGGTGGAACCGAACCCAAAGCTGCAAAGCTTGTTTGGAAGTTTGTCCACGGGACGAACCACGCGAACGATGTCGCGGGCATAAAATAGAATTCATACATTACGCAAACGGTTTCTGGCATTATATACATCACTAAGGTATTGACTATATTATTATATTTAAATATTGTAAAAATCACCAAGTTTATTCACTTTAAATTTCTTTGACGACAAAGAATAATAAAATATCTAAACATATAACTTTTACATTAAGAGATATATCATACCACTGGGAAAGTTGGCGCAATGTACATCTTGAGTTTATAGATCAGAACTTCCCCTTCAAGGATAGGGCAGAAGGAATTCTGGAGAAAGTTGCATGTGATCGCGTTCTGCCCCAAAGGATAAGGCACCACCAGAATACCAAGGAAAGCAGTTGCTAGTGTAGACATACTTTGCATTGTCCGAGCTGTAATAAAAAAAATATTTATAAACAAAACAAGTAACGAAATCTTGGTATATTTTTTAATTCATTGTCATCTCCTTGCCTTATCCCCAGTTTATTTATGATAGTCGCAGCGTGCTCTATGCTTTTATGGGATACGTAAACGGCACACGACGTCGTTGCAAACGCCGCACAGGCGAGCCTCAGAACATGCAGAGGCACGCTATGGTCTAACCAAAAAAGAAGCGTGACTTATTTTACTTCTTGCATTTTTTAACACTATCTTGTTAGATAACTCAAATCAGCGTTAAGAATGCAAGAAATAAAATAAGCAACGCTTCTCCCTAAACTCACAATTTTATGTATAAACAAGGTATAAACATAAACTGACAAATAAAACTCAAGTTGAGTTGGGCTATTCGGAAAGGATAACTTTTCTGTTTCGTTTGCAAAGTTAGGCACTGACTCCGATTATTCTTCATCGCCGTCACGAAATATGTATTTGGTGAATCAAAGAATGATCATATTTATCAGAAAAACTCAATAAATTTGCTACATGCCCCGAACTGGCTTAATCCAGTAATAACGATACCCAATTGGAATAATTAGTATTTGATCATTGTTATTTGCAGTATTTTGATTACTATTAGTTTATAAATAAATATATATTTAAGTTTATCATTTCTTTCTTTTTGTTAAGTTCACAAAATTATGAAATAAGTTAGGATAAAGTTAATTACTTAAATAATAAAATACTTGCCTGAATAACATCAAATAGAAAATCAGGTGAAAAGGTAGAAACTTTTAAAATTGTCTTATTTGTGTCTTATTGGTTAGACAAATTACTATGTTGGCCGAGAAAACGAGAAAGTATTATATTTGTAAGCTTAATTCGATAATCATATTGTAGTATTTTTTTTTTTACTAAGTGCAGTGCCGTCCCACGGCCGCCATATTAGGTTTTTCTTAACATCATCTACCTTGGACACGTGGACTACGAAAACAAAACTAAAGATACTTAAAGTATGTAAATCCGTTTTACAATTCTGGATATATAAGGTAATAAAGAACATACACGCATACACATAAGATACACGCCAAAAACATAACCCTTCCTTTGCAGTCGGATAAAATACAAAGACTGACCGATCATAATGACTTTTTCCTTATTATTCCGAAAACCACAATCTTCAATAGGAAGTTTCGGTTTTGGTTTCGCTCATGAAAATCAGTTTCGGTTATAAAGACGTAATTTATGGAAGAAAATTAATTTAAATAATTTTTATATGTAACTAATGTAAATGTTATCTTATTACAAATCCAGTGGCTTCGATAGTTTTAGCAAGCGAATACAATAAACAAACGAGGCAGTGGTATCTAAAATTATTTAAATATTCCAAATGCTTTAGTGCAAAAGCGCTTTATTGCACTTGAGTACCTTTTGTTATTGTTTAAGTACTATATTTTTTGGCTTAATGAAATAAATACATTCGTAATTTCAATTTAATTTAATATCCGTTTTAATTTTTTTTATATTTTAAAAGAAATGCAACTACTCAGAACCAAAGTCTGTAAATGAACATTGGATTCGAATTGGTTATTATTAATAAAAAAAAGTGTTTATTATTAGCACTCATTCTATTACATTAAGAAAAGTTCATATTATCCAAAGTACTGAGGTTAGATTAGAAATAATTTCATATGGTAGTTAAATTCATATTTTTTTTTTATTTTCCACACTTTTTTTTTCTTTCATAAGAAACTTCTCATAATTGTAAAAAAAACACAAAAAAAACAGAATTAACAAAATCGGTCCAGTAGTTCAAGTGTGATCGCATGACTAAGGTAAAAGGGATTCATTTTTATAGATACTTATAGATAAGATTGCAAACTAAGGATTCGCTTACGTGCTCTGAAGACGATGTTGATTACAGCATCTTGTAGCTGCGGCAGATGACATGGTGGTGTAACGCAGTTTTCTATGTAGACATTCAATGGAAGATCCCCGGAGAAGATAATACCTAGAAAAAATATTATAGGACTCTCCTGTTCTTATTCACTTAATAATTTTACTGAATAAATAAAAACTTCGTTTATCTTATCTTAAGAAGCTCGAGACAGCTCCATGTTGTATTGCTTTTCAAAGAAACATAAGGAACGATTAAATTTAATTCACAGATATAGTCACCACCACCAGCCTTTTTACGTCCCCACTGCAGGGGCTCAGGCCTTCCTTATGGATGGTTAAGGAGAATGGGCCATGACCCTCCACGCTGGCCCAATGCGGATTGGATGGTATTGACGACTGCAAACGCAGCCGGGACCAACGGCTTAACGTGCCTTCCGAAGCACGGAGTAGCTCGAGATAATAATTTTTTGGTCACCCATCCCGTGACCGACCCTTGCGAAAGTTGCTTAACGACTACGATCGCGGGCCGCGGCGCTTATCCACTACGCCACCGAGCTACAGATACAGTGTACAACATTTATTAATGGTTCCACGGATTACATCAAACTTTCATTTCATGAAGTCTTAATATGCAATCCGTGAAAGTGCTACTACCCCTATATAATAGTACTGCAACTTGGTTGCCCTAACGTTTTCGTAATAATCGCCTCACAATGGAGTCTCAATTATTTGCATTTTGCATTTGTACTGTAACGGTGCGTCGTACCACCGTTTATTTCGTCCTAGATTTCCGCATGCAAACTTTTTGTCTTTGATCTTCAACATCATTTATTTTTATTATTCACTATTGTAATTTGAAATTTTGTGTGATCCAATATGCACTTC